GGCTTCTTTTTATTCTCTTTTTTTTTTTCCTTTTTCTTCTTTTTTTTTTTCACGCCGTTATCCCTCCAGACATCGAGACACCCTGGACCTGGGCTACCGCCAGGATATTTTTTCTCCCCCTCTCGAAACAGGCAACCCTCGTGTCGCCACGGGCCGGCCTCGCTCTGCGTGTATAACACACTTGCCTCGTAAATTTCACGGGTGCAGCTGAGCTGCGAATTGGCTGCGGTCGAGGGCGACAAATTTCTCGAAAAGACAAGAGGGGAGGCAGAGTGGGAAGGGAGAGAAGGGAGGATCGTCGCAGGATCGCGGCATCGAGGCACGGAATGAAACGGGCGAATAGCCAGTGTAAATCATGACGGGAGGGACGCGTACGATGGGAAGTTACGATCGATGGGAATTGATTCACGACGTGATTCTGAAAAGGTGGTTTCCTTTTCAATGGAATAATTTTTTTTTTTCCTTTTTTTTTAATGGCAATCGAGGGATGTAATTGGCTAATTAGCGAGTGTAATTGTTCCCCGTTGCTGTTCGATTCGTTGTTTAATAATAGAGGTTTTGTTGGTAAGCTCTCTTAAACGGATGGAAGTTAGAGAAGGGAGAAAAGAAGGGAGATATTTAGATATTTAATCGAGGAGGAACGAGGTTCGAGTTATCGTTTGGAAGTTAATTTTCAACGAGATAAGTTTAATCGAGTTGGAGGAATTTTCTTCTTTTTCCCTTTTTGTCGTTAAAAAATTGACGAAACGAATCGGTATCGTAAAACTCTCGTTCCAAGTTGATATTTTATACAACTGGTTAATCGGAGGATAGAATCGAGGTCTGAAGGACCTGTTCTGAGCATCTACCTGAAAGCAGGTAGGTAAAATCGAGAGCGGTCAGAGGCCTTGACCCTGGACGAAGCTCGAACACGAGGTGAATCAACCTCTCGAGCCCGTATCGCATCGCGTAACTTGGCCGCGTTAGAATCTACGAATCCGTTAAACCAACATTATACAATAATTTACAAATATACATCCTCTATCTCTTCTTACGACTAATTTAAAAAAATTCAGTTTATAGAATGTTAAAATTCTTTAAATACTCGAATATGATAATCCAAGTGGTTATTGGAAACGGATATGCTTTGCTAATCGTGCAAATTACAAGAATCCATTATATCAGAATAATTATTACATATTTTTCTTGTTTTCAATGTATCATTCATAAACCGTAATTGCGCATTGCATAATTTATCCATCAAGCGCGTTATTATCGAGGATATAATATTTTTCCTAAGAACTAACCAATCCAATATTTTGCATACATATAACCAAAGTAATCGTTGTAAAAGTCTAAAATTAATTTTTCCAAAAAAGGAAAAAAAAGAAAAAAACACATTTTCATCTCAAAACCAATAACATCCGAAATTCTACCACTTTATTATTTCTAATCGCCAACGAACATCCTACACACTTCGTCCTACGATCTCCTACATATTCTCCTCATACATCTCTCAAACCGGTCCACGTTCCCTCGGCCCACCGTAGTCCGCCCGTAGTAAACCTCTCTCTCCAACTTAAAAACCTCTCGCCCTAAAATATCCGAGAGCACCGACGTACCAATGGCCTCGTACACTATCACGGCAGACGCGATCCATTAGGGGAAGGAAATGTAGTGTGTATATACGTGTATATGCGCGCATACTCTTCTAACCTGAAATCTTTTGGCCCATGTTTAAGGCCCGATAGGGGGACCGATGGTGATGCCGGTGTTGAAGACGGTGTTCGAGGCACTGCTTTCCAAGGGGTAGCTTGTGCCTGAGGTGCCAGGCGACGCCAGTGATGGTGGTGGCGTCCGCCGTGGTGGTCGTGGTGACGTGCTCGTGATTACGATGATGGTGGTGATGGTGGTGATGGTAGCGGTGGTGGTAACGGCTGATCGTCGGTGGTGTAGC